CTCCCTACACCCCTCCCCCTCCCTAAACCACTCCCACTACCTGCACCCCTCCCACTTCCCTAATCCCCTATCCCCTCCCTGCACCCACCTCCCCTCCCTGCACTCCTCTTCCCTCCCGGCACCTCTCTCCCATCCACATTCGATATCTCCTAGCATTATATATCCTTAATAATTCTCTCTCACGCAAATCTCGTTATCTCTCTCTCTGTCTCTCTCTCTCTCTCTCTCTCTCTCTCTCTCTCTCTCAAAATTTCGCTCATCTGTGTATGTTTCTCTCTAGCCTTCTCTCCCCACTTATCCCCTGTCTCTACACATGCTGTTTGTCTGTCGTACTATCAATTTACGTTTATTCCTTCACCCCCACCCTGCCTCTCAATTCCCGCCAATCGATAATAACGTATCCTACCTTCACATCGGCTCTGGATGGATAAGTGAAATGCACATTCCGGAAGGTGACATCACCCGATACAAGTTTCAATTTCTCTCCCTCTGGCGATTCGATATCAATCGACGGCACCTTGACAGAAATGCAGTCGCGTATAAAACAACACTGATAACAGGTGGCGAAACTTCGTGGAATAATAGCACGATATCCTTTTCATGAAAAATCATATTCATATTCATCACTATAATACAAATTAAGCGGAATTCAAAATTCAAGGGGATTTGACACATCGTATAGAAATGAAATCCCCCCCCCTCTCCCAGTGAACTCCGGGCTCGTATAAACAGTGAGTAACAGCAGTCAACGGCTATCCCACGAGCATGAATTCACATGCCATCACACTGTAATCATAATATATGTAATAATTTGCACAATCACGCGACATGAATCATATGTATATATGTCTCGTATGTTTACTCAGCATGCCGACTATACAGTCGTCTAACGACAGGCCGGCGTCGCTAGCGTTGCCATGGTAGACGCAGACGCACCTGGTCGATGATTTGGAATATAGGCGTGGCGGCGCTGCGAGCGATCGCGAAGTCGGAAATCTTCGGTGCGGCGTATCCCATCGCAAACGCTCCAATCATGATGCCGAAAAACACCTGCAGCAGCGCACGCATGCGCAGCGTGGTCCCATGACGGTCAGTTTGCTACTACTACTACTACTACTACTACTGTACTAATAATAATAATAATAATATTAATAATAATAATAATAATAATACTATTATAATATATTAGTAATATATATATATATATATATATATTATATATATATATATATATATATATATATAATAGTAATATATTAATATATACTAAAAATATGATATCATGACATAATGACAACATGACAACATGACAACATGAAATAATGTTGTTATTTGACGAGAGTAAGATGCCCTACCGTCATCAGAGTGCGCCGCGTGTACTCTGAGTTGGTTTCCTCTCGGTGGAACATCCAATCTCGTACGAGTATGGAGCCGTAGAAGATGGTGACACCCAAAGGCACAGAACATCGTGAACCAGGTAAGCCAAGACCCAGGCCTGTGCTGAGGCCTTTACGGTACAGCAGCCTGGCGGCTGGATTACAGATTATTACGCGTACCTATAAACACACATAAATTACCGTGGCATACCAGATAATAAACAGTAGTGGAGCTTCGATCATGACGAAATGGCTTGAGGTTTGATGTTTTATAGAGGCAAATAGTTAATAATAATAACATGTTGACGTAAGTAAGAATCATCTACTATATAAAATACTAGTAAAACCGACGAAGAAAAAAATTAAAGACAAAAATGAAGACGTATATATATCAAAGAGGCAAGACAAACAACAAAATAATATTTTTTTTAAACATCGAAGGCGGTTAATAAATCATATCCGTGGCGATGATGAGGATGAATATGTGCATAGCCAATGGAAGCCTAAAAGTCTAAACAGGAAAACTAGGGCAACAGCGGTAATGGTGGGATAAATCGAAAACAAAACCCCATTTGAAGGCAAAAACGAGAAGCGATGTGAAGTGACGTCCCGTCTATGCTCACCTCTCGCCCTTGCCTTGTGTTCGCCACCGACATACGACTGTGCGAATAGAGGAAAGCACCTCCTCTACGACGGCACCTGCCTTCGCGTACGCCTTCAACTCTTGTTTGTTAGATACGCTGCTCATCTGTAGTAGATGCAGACATGTGCAGAGCAAACACGACGAAACATGACACTGCGATAATGGGAATTACATGGGGACAAATTGATTTAGCGGATAAATTGATTCTATCTATATCGTGAGTTATGTTTACATTTAAATACAATTAGGATAATGTCTAACGACTTGACACGAACATTTAGATTAGCAGATTGAAGGAGATTGTATCTCGGAATAATTAATACCCCCGGGGAACCAGTAGAAAGAAGATTGTTGAATCATTTTGTGGCGCCGTTAAAATATAACATTCGATCATGTTTTGTTTCGTAACTGTAATGTAATTAATATAACGGATATATTTTTTTTTTTGATAACTCCGGAATATGTGAACATTGAATCTGCACTAATCGACGTCGGATTATATGGCGTTTGCTGTCATTACCTCCGCCAAGGGGTTGGCAGGAGGTTATGTTTTTCACGGCGTTTGTTGGTTTGTGGTTTGGTGCGTTTCTTTCTTGTGTACAGCCTAACTAAAAAAAGTTATGGACGGATTGTCATAACATTTTCAGGATAGGTCAGAAATGGGCTAACTTATATAATTGAATACATTTTTTGGTGATTCGGATCCAATTAATAATTATTAAATATATTTTCAAGATAGTCAGAAATGGGGTAAACTAGAATTGATTACATTTTTGTGGGTGATGCCGGATCAATTAATTATTTAATTAAATTAATTAATTAATACTGCCATTTTTCACAGTGAGAGAATTCAGCTGCCTTGGCGAAGGTCTGCGCTCTCCGAGTGCTCTAGTTCTTAATGTAACGTTACGCAAAGTCTACGCTACAACTAAACGTGCTGCTGTGCACGCGCGTTATATTTACGTTTCCCTCTACAATCGTCAGCCTACCATCTCTCATGCCTGCTAAATAGCTGCAATCATAGAGATCCTACGTCACTTCGCGATACTCTAGACCAAGGGCTAACCACCTTTAACATATACTAACGCTACCCACCTTTACCATCTACTAACGCTACCCACATTTACCACCTACTAACCCTAGCTACTTTTACCATCTGCTAACACTAATTATGTCTACTGATGCTACACTTGTCATTGCACGTGTCTGCCTAGCATATGCTGTCTATACCTTGGTCATGATCACCCCGCTTGCGGCTAGAAATGGTGAGAAGCCAAGCACGACTAGACTGAGCAGCCATCCCTCCGAGAAAGCAATGATGAAGCCAGTCACGAAGGCGCTCGTCCACTGCAGGAAAATGGCGATGCGATCGCCTATCCCAGACTGCACCTTGACAAGGTCGCTACATGTACACGATCACAACGAAATCTGTCATGGCGGCCACACACACGCGGTCGAAGCATACATATTACTCAAAATAAAAAAACGAGAGTTGGCGAATAGTAATTTAGTTCTGAATTTTTTTGATAATACATAATTTATGCTACACATATTGTGTGATAAATGTCATGTATGTATAGCGTACGTGTGCGGCTCACACACGCACACAGGTTCTCCACTCGACCGAGACCTTCTGATAAACGCATATCGTTACAACTACGAAGTTTTCATGAGTGGCAAAACAACATAGTTTTAACGCACGTGTTGTGTTAATATCAGCATATTCGTGGAATCGCGTTAGTTTGCGAGCGCGCGTGCATAGCTGGGCGTTCTGGTTTCTGGTTTCGTAGTGAAACTCGCCGCCGTGTACGAGGAGCGAGGTGGTGACTTACTCGGACAGACGAGTGTTCAGCTGGCGACTCTCATGCATGTCAAACCACGCAGACTCCTGACGCATGATCGAGCGGAAGAATGCCACGCGCATGCGCTGTGTCTGCCGCTCGGCAGCCATTACCCACGTAGCGATCTTAAAAATGACGTGACATGAGCAATGTCGATCAACTACATCATGTTATTAATTACATATATTCATTATAGTACACATTTAGTCTGGCAACATATAATATTATAATATAACGTCATATCATAACATGATGATTAATAAAAATGGTAGTGTAATAAATAAAGTGAATAAAACAATAAAATGAAGCAGTAATAAGTAGATACTAGCATAAACTAGTTGATCGAATAGTAAATGTAGTACTGATCAATCACACTGAACGCAGGTATGCGTATACCTATGATTGATCCACGCATGACAGCAACGACCGTTAATTCTACATATAAGATAAATTCTGCAACACTACGGAGAGCGGTTTTATTATAATGGACGTATTTACCTGTAAATACCCCAGCGCCAGTACTGCACATCCAAGTGCCAAGTACTTGTACGTAAACGCTTTCATCTCTTCGTTTAGCGACATAGAGGACCCATTTCGGAACTTGTCAACTATGTCAAGCGTCATATTTGCATTGAGTGTTAAATTTTCCTTCAATTCCCCCAGGTACTGCTCAATCATCCAGCCGATGGGACCGTCTGGCAGAAGGTCCGCCAGTGTGTAGTTGTTACACAAACTATAACAGACAAGAAGCGTGCAGTAGCGGTACCGTTGTTAAAGGTTTATGAAAGCTTCATGTGTTGTTTGCACATATATACGTATGTGCCACTGCCACCTCTAACATTGACGCAGTATTCTTCGACTATGCATATCTATGTATGTATGTATGTATGTATGTATGTATGTATGTATGTATGTATGTATGTATGTATGTCAACATGACAACATGACAACATGAAATAATGTTGTTATTTGACGAGAGTAAGATGCCCTACCGTCATCAGAGTGCCCGGCGTGTACTCTGAGTTGGTTTCCTCTCGGTGGAACATCCAATCTCGTACGAGTATGGAGCCGTAGAAGATGGTGACACCAAAGGCACAGAACATCGTGAACCAGGTAAAGCCAAGACCCAGGCCTGTGCTGAGGCCTTTACGTACAGCAGCCTGGCGGGCTGGATTGAGATTATTACCGTACCTATAAACACACATAAATTACCGTGGCATACCAGATAATAAACGGTAGTGGAGCTTCGATCATGACGAAATGGCTTGAGGTTTGATGTTTTATAGAGCAAATAGTTAATAATAATAACATGTTGACGTAAGAAGAATCATCTACTATATAAAATACTAGTAAACCGACGAAGAAAAAAATTAACAAGCAAAAATGAAGACGTATATATACAAAGAGCAAGACAAACAACAAAATAATATTTTTTTAAAACATCGAAGGCGGTTAATAAATCATATCCGTGCGGTGATGAGGATGAATATTGCATAGCCAATGAGACCTAAAAATCTAAACAAGAAAACTAGGGCAATAGCGGTAATGGTGGCGATAAATCGAACAAAACCCCATTTGAAGGCAAGCAACGAGAAGCGATGTGAATGACGTCACGTCTATGCTCACCTCTCGCCCTCCTTGTGTTCGCCACCGAACATAACGACTGTGCGAATAGAGGAAAGCACCTCCTCTACGACGGCACCTGCCTTCGCGTACGCCTTCAACTCCTTGTTCGTTAGATACGTGCTCATCTGTAGTAGATGCAGACATGTCAGAGCAAACACACGAAAACATGACACTGCGATAATGGGAATACATGGGGACAAATTGATTTACGGGATAAATTGATTCTATCTATACGTGAGTTCATGGTTACATTTAATAACAATTAGGATAATGTCTACGACCTTGACACGGAACATTTAATTAGCAGATTGAAGGAGATTGTATCTCGGAAATAATTAATACCCCCCGGGGAACCAGTAGAAAGAAGATTGTGTGAATCATTTTGTGCGCCCGTTAAAATATAACATTCGATCATGTTTGTTTCGTAACTGTATGTAATTATATACGGATATATTTATTTTTTGATAACTGTATACGGAATATGTGAACATTGAATCTGCACTAATCGACGTCGGATTATAGCGTTTGCTACATTACCTCCGCCAAGGGGTTGGCAGGAGGTTATGTTTTCACCGGCGTTTGTTGGTTTGTGCGTTTGTGCGTTTCTTTCTTTGTGTACAGCCTAACTAAAAAAAGTTATGGACGGATTGTCATAACATTTTCAGGATAGGTCAGAAATGGGCTAACTTAGAATTGATTAGATTTTGGTGGTGATCCGGATTCAATTAATGAATAAAATTTTCAGGATAGGTCAGAAATGGGGTAACATAGAATTGAATACATTTTTATGGTGATTCGGATCCAATTAATTAATTAATTAATATAATTTTCAGGATACGTCAGAAATGGGGTAACTTATAATTGATTGCATTTTGGTGGTGATCCGTATCCAATTAATTATTTAATTAATTAATTAATTAATAACATTTTTCACAGTGAGAGAATTCAGCTGCGAGTGTGACATACATACATAACTAACCACAGCACACACACAGGCATTTCACACACACAACGGACACACACACATTGACACACACCACACATCCCACACCGCAATACACGCATACACGCATACACCACACACATACCACACACCACACACATACATACACGTTACATACATACATAACATACATACATACATACATACATACTATCAATACCCCAACAGTACACGACACATCAATACCATACATACAATACAAATACTACATACATAGCATACGATCCATACCATACATACATACATACATACATACATACAGTACATACATACTACATCACACATACACACATGTACCCACATACACGACATAACACTACATAATACATACATAACAAATACATACATGACATACATACATACATACATAACATACAATACATACACATACATACATACAATACATACTACATTACTACAATACATACGCTACATACCATACCCACATACACACACACATCACATACAGTACATTACATACATACATACATACATACATACATACATACATCATAGCATACATACATACATCCATACATACATACATAATACATACATACATACATACTACATATCATACATACATACTACATACATACATCACATACTACATACATACATAGCATAACATACATACATACATACATACAATACATACAACATACATACATACATACAGTACATACAATACATACATGACATACATACATACATACAACAATCACATACATACATACTACATACATACAAATAGCATTACATACTACATACATACATTATTAATACAATACTACATACATATCATAATACTACATACACTACATACATACAACATACATACATACCATACTACATTATACAATACATACATTGACATACCATACAGTACATACTACATAGCATAGCATACATACATACATAACATACAGTACATACATATCGTACATACAGTACATACATACATACATACATTACATTAGCATACCTACATACATACATACATGACAGTACGATACAATACATACATACATACATCCACACATCATACCATACGCTACATACATACAATATACCATACATACATACATACATGACATACATAACATACATACATACATACATACATACATACATACATACATACATACATCATACATACATACAATAGCAACATACACATACATGACATACATACATACATACATACTACATACATACAGTTACCATAACATAAATACATACCGTACATACCTACATAGCATACATGACATACTAATGACAACATACATAAGACATCCATACATACATACATACATTACATACATACACATACATACATACATACATACATACACTACATACAGTACATAACATACATAGCATACATACATACATAATACATACATACAACATCGACATTACATACGATACATACATACATACCATACATACATCACATACAAAACATACAATACATACATACATTACATACATACATACTACATACATACATACATCATACCATGACATCATACCATACATACATACAAACATACTACATACTACATCAATACATACATACATACATACATACATACATACATACAGTACATACATACATAGCATCATAATACATACATACATACATACATACAATACATACATACATACATACATACATACATCACTACAATACAATAACATACAGTACAACATACGATACATACATACATACATACATACAAATACATAACATCCCATACATACATACATACATACATAGCATACATACATACATACATAACCGAATACATATCATAACATACATACATACATACATACACATACATACATACAGTACCATACATACATACATACTACGATACATAACATCCATACATTAATACGATACATACATACATACATACAATACACATACATAACATACATAATACAACATACATACATACAGTATCATACATACATACATACATACGATACATAA